ATCAGATTAATCACTGGCTTTAATAATAAATTTAGAGTCATTAACAGGGATCAGTCGCAAACATTGGAATGTTTAATAATAGATCCAAAACTTGGCCCAATATTACCCTATAAGGTGCAGCGCTAAAACAAGATAATATACGTAATAAAGTGCAGAGTGATCACCAATATTTAAATCATAACCATTTCAATAAATAAATAATCAAATAAATAATAATGTGTACAGTATATCATATCGTAATATAATATATTATATTATCTTGTTTAGCGCTGCACCTTATTTCTGTTGTTTGCATTGGAAGGTTATTTTGGTTACCTTTGGTGTTCCAGCGGCAATGTTTGGAGGTAGCACTAGCTAATACTCTCTTTGTATACACCAATATTACCCTATGGTCACCTTTAAATGGGCTTGAGCTTTAAAAAATATCCTAGCCCCAAGTAAGTTAACATCCCATAAAAATCCAGGTCTGTCCTCAGATATTCAATCATTTTTTTGATAACAGAACAGGCATTTTTCAATGCCGCAAGAGGAGATGTTTAACATGCCAGTTCATCCATCATGGATGCTCCAGATTTTTGGATAGCAAAGGAAATGAGTTTGTTATACAACAATTTATTACCTGTTCCTCTGAATAAGTTATTTATGTCCTTCGCTGTCCTTGTAAATTGTTATATGTTGGTCGTACTAAACGTACACTGCGTAAAAGGTTCAAAGAACATTGTCGACTCATTACAGAGGGTGACGGCCAACATAGTGTTCCTTGCCACTTTCTGCAAAATCATAATAAAGACTTTAAGAAAATGGAAAATGGAAGTGTTAGGGAAACCTTCTGGATATTATAATTAGGCATACTGACACCAGATGGGTTGAATGAGGACCCTGAAATACATTGCATAATATAATTCACTATATGTGTTTTATTATGTATAATTGTACAGTTTATATATAAGCTCATGGTATGCCCCTTTAATTATTAATCTGTGCCCCTCATCATAGTACCGCCCTTTTGTTTCCTTTATAACCCCAGTCCTTCCTGGTTGCTTAACCTCCCTGGCGGTATTCCTGAGTGTAGCTCGGGGTAAATTTTCAGTACCAAAAGCGGTAACCCCGAGCTACACTCAGGAATACCCTGCAGCGTCGTTCCGGGATCCCTGTTTCACTTACCTTGTACTGCGGTCCCGTGATGTCCCCCCTTCAACGTCCCCGGCCATCTCCTCCGGCATCCATCTTCCGGGTTCCGTTCCCTGCGAGCGTCGGGACATGCGGGGAATGGAACCAGCAGGAAATGAAAAAATGTTAAAATTGACATTCACTCAATACACAAAAATCACATAGTAAAACATTACTGTATCAAACCATTTCACATACATTTTGTCCCGAGTGCTTTGTCCTGTGCCCTGCCTGCGTTTTTACTGTTCTTTCTGCCTGGAAACTGACAAAAGCCCATGGCGTCCAAAAAGTGTCCCTTTAGGTCAAAATCGGTTTAAGGTGTCTGTTTATGACACAGAGAATAGCTGCAATTCCGAGGATCGCAGCAATTCTCTGGTCATTCACAGTTTATGACCCTCAGGAGATCAGCGGAGAACATGTTCAGTGCTTCACTGGAGATCTGTGTTCTCCCTCCAGATTCTCCAGCCTAGACCTGGAGAATCGGAGGAACCTCAAACTAAGCAGCAATAATTTACCTCTGCTTAGTAAACTGATCTTTTACTGTAATCTTGCGAGATTATAGTAAAATCAGCCATTTTCCAGCGTTTGTGGATCGTTCTCCCCTTCGTTCAGAGAACTGATCTACACTGCTTCATAAAAGGCATTCACAGGAGAACTGTGTTCTCCGAGAATGCCGGAGAACTGAGCAGCGATCTATTACCGCTGGTTCATAAACGGACACCTTTGAACAGCTAGAGAACAGCGATAGTAAATTAGAATCACTTGCAGAATTGAGTGATAATGATTCGTGGGGAAATTCATCATCAGACACTGAAAACGATTTTGCGACTAAGCTCAGTGATGTGCGAACTTGGCGCTCTATTTCAAATTTCAGTGTTTTTGGTTTGATTACATTATTGAATTAAATTTATTATTATAATCTTTATGATTATTTATTATATTATAATTTATGATTTCGTGTTTCAAATTTTATCATACCCGGGATGTTTACTAGACTCTTGTTCAGACAGATTTCACTGCGTTATTCCTAAAAATTACAGGCCTACAATAAAAAACTACATATTTCCATGCAAAAAAATGTACCTCTTTGAGCACAGAAATATTGACATAATCATACTGCTAGGAAGGTTAATGACTGTGACAAAGCACGAATTTGTGCCAAATGCGTCATCATAGCAACCAGGACTTGTTTGGCCAGCTCCATGCTTCTTGGCTTCTCTGTCTGATGATCAGCGACCTTCTGCAGTTTCTGTGCTCCATTGATATGGCTTCCAGTGTGCACCGACGTCACCCAGAGGCTGCACCCTACTACCATGAGTCTTACCATCATATTGGCGTCTTGGCAACCCACACATTATGTTACAGCGCTCCACAGGGATTCATTCCATCACTGTCTCCTTCTTTTTGGTCCAGAAAATCCTGTATCCCCAGCAGTAAGTCAATTTTATTACCAACAGTATAACACATGGGATACATTATTTACCTTTATTTATTGATCCGCATTGGATATAAAACTCTGGTTCATGTTTTTATCAACTTTACAGTGGACAATAAAATCCTCTTTTTACCTTGGACATATTGCCAGTTATTAGTGCCATTCTGTTTTGCATCACTGGTCACTATTACTTTTATTTGTGGCTCTACACCAATAGTGCTCATTTTCAGTTGCAGCTTTATAATATTGACTGTGTGATCTCCCCTTAGAGCCATCAGCCCAACATATCTTATTAGGTGTGGTCCAAAGAGAAAATGCCCCCAGCCTTCCAGCCTAGTCCACCACTAACCAGAAGTAATATTACATAAATCAATTTCAGATTTTTTTAAAGTGGACCTGTAGACTAAACAACACAAGAATTCTTTTCTCCCAAATCTTACCAGGTCTGTTAAAAGCCAACGGGAAAAACAAACAGGCAAAGGAGCCCTCCACAGGGTTCTACAGTTCCCAGATCTACCACATGGGACCACTGGCTAACTGGCTACCAACCAAGGACAACAATGGCTTTTTTGGTAAGTATACTCTGCTATACATTTTTTAAGAGGATTAATTGAATTGCTGCAGAATTTATTTATGCTGTAGCATGTTGTTATCCATTACATTGGATATCAAACCCACTGCCATGTGATTTGGTCACGGTCAGCTCAGTGTGTCAGGGCTCCCAGGTGTGACCAGAGATGTGTGACTGACGCAGGGAAACGCAGACCTCAGATATGTTATAAACAATATAATTTATTAACACTAACAATACAAACATAAACGCAGTGCAATACTAAAACATAATACAGTGCAAACAAACCAAACCACCCACAGATAACAGTACATACAAGCAAGCGTCGTCAGGCAGGCCGGGTCAATATCAATAGGGCAGGTAGGTACAGGGGGAGCAAGCGGAGATTGGTCAGGGTCACAAGCCAGGGATCAGAACAGGTAGCAAGCAGCGTGGTACAGAGGGTCAGACAGAGGGATGGTCAGGAGCGAGCCGGGATCAGAGCAGGAGAAGTCAGCAGCGGTTCAGAAACAGGATGCAGGACAGAAACAGGATGCAGGGCCCAGGACAAACACACACCAAGGCAGAGTCTGTGGGTCTGGCCATCCCTTAAATACCCCAGCATAATCAGTTACAGGTGTTAGCTGGCTGCAAAGTTGAGTCTCTGATTGCTGGGAACAACACCCGCTGGCCAGCCCTGGTACTGCAGATCAAAAGGCAGGTGAGTCCCACCATAGCTGGCCAGTCCATTCCTGACAGTACCCCCCCCCCTCAAGGAGCGGCCTCAGGACGCTCCAAACAGTCCTAGCTGGGAAAAATGTTCCACCGCCCGGGTCTGGTAACTGGCGGGATATCAAAGACTGGCACACCGGGCAGGACTCCGGGCAGTGGTACACCGGGCAGAGGCACATCGGGCTGGACTCCGGGCAGAGGCACACCGGGCTGGACTCCGGGCAGAGGCACACCGGGCAGAGGCACACCGGGCTGGACTCCGGGCAGAGGCACATCGGGCTGGACTCCGGGCAGAGGCACATCGGGCAGAGGCACATCGGGCCGGACTCCGGGCAGAGGCACATCGGGCCGGACTCCGGGCAGAGGCACATCGGGCCGGACTCCGGGCAGAGGCACATCGGGCCGGACTCCGGGCAGAGGCACATCGGGCCGGACTCCGGGCAGAGGCACATCGGGCCGGACTCCGGGCAGAGGCACATCGGGCCGGACTCCGGGCAGAGGCACATCGGGCCGGACTCCGGGCAGAGTCACATCGACTCCGGGCAGAGGCACATCGGGCCGGACTCCGGGCAGAGGCACATCGGGCCGGACCCGGGCAGAGGCACATGGACCCCGGCACATCGGGCCGGACCCCGGCAGAGGCACATCGGGCTACCAGGCGAAGCAGCAGGCAGCGGGCCACCAGGCGGAGCGACAGACACCGGGCCCCGGGCGGGGCGACAGGCACCGGGCCCCCGGGCGGGGCGACAGGCACCGGGCCCCCCGGGCGGGGCGACAGGCACCGGGCCCCCAGGCGGAGCGGCGGGCGCCGGACCCCCAGGCGGAAACTACAGGTCTCGGGCCCTCAGGCGGGAGCGGCGGGCGCCGGACCCCCAGGCGGGGCGACAGGCCTCGGGCCCCCAGGCTGAGCGGCGGGCGCCGGACCCCCAGGCGGAACTACAGGTCTCGGGCCCTCAGGCGGAGCGGCGGGCGCCGGACCCCCAGAAGGAGCGACAGGTCTCGGGCCCTCAGGCGGAGCGACAGGCATCGGACCCCCAGGCGGGGCGGCGACCCTCGGCAGGCATCGGACCCCCAGGCGGGGCGACAGGCATCGGACCCCCAGGCGGGGCGACAGGCATCGGACCCCCAGGCGGGGCGACAGGCATCGGACCCCCAGGCGGGGCGACAGGCCTCGGACCCCCAGGCGGAGTGGCGGGCGCCGGACCCCCAGGCGGAGCGACAGGTCTCGGGCCCTCAGGCGGAGCGACAGGCATCGGACCCCCAGGCGGGGCGACAGGCATCGGGCCCCCCAGGTATGACAGCGGGCACTGGGTCACCAGGCATCAGGTCATTTGGCTTGCCAGCGGGCACCGCGTCATCTGGCAAGGCAGTGGGCACCGGGTCACCAGGTATGACAGCGGGCTCTGAGTCAATTGGCACGACAGCGGGCACTGAATCAGGTACCGGATCATCTGGATCAACAGCGGGCATCGAGTCAACTGGCCTAATAGGATCGTCGGGCTGGATCAGTTCATCATGCTGAGTAGCGGCATCAGGCTGAATGCAGGCATCAGGCTGAGGAGAGGCTTCAGGCTGTGGAGAGGCTTCAGGCTGAGGAGAGGCATCAGGCTGAGGAGAGGCATCAGGCTGAGGAGAGGCATCAGGCTGAGGAGAGGCATCAGGCTGAGGAGAGGCATCAGGCTGAGGAGAGGCATCCGGCTGAGGAGAGGCATCCGGCTGAAGAGAGGCATCCGGCTGAAGAGAGGCATCCGGCCGAGTAGAGTCTTCAGGCCGAGTAGAGGCTTCAGGCTGAGTAGAGGCTTCAGGCCGAGTAGAGGCTTTAGGCTGAGTAGAGGCTTCAGGCTGAGTCACGGAAGGCAGGTTCACCGGTTTGGATACTGGCAGGATGGTATTGGTTGGAAAGAATTTTCGCTTTTTTCTGGTTTTAACTACTGGAGCACTGCAAGTAAACGCAGGTCTGCAAACGAATGGAGCAGCTGGAGACAGAGAAAAACTGGAGGATGGAACAGGAAGGGAGCAGTTGCTACAGAGGGCTTTTTTACAGGGTTAAAGGCAGGATAGGTGCAGCGAGTGGGAACAGGGTACTGACATGCGGTAGATAGCCAAGTATACTGGGCTGTAACTGGAGGAGCTGGTGGGAATACAGGGAGTAGAGTTAGAAGCAGGACTGGGTCTTTGTAAGCTGACTGAGGCTGGGTGCAACAAGTCTGTCCATGTCTGCAGTATGGGTTGAACAAAGCTGAGCTTACACAAAACCTGTCTGGTCAATGACTGCACTGCGTTTATACAATCTTAGTGTCTGTGGTGAACATGTGGAATAACGCTCCAGAGAAACTAACCCACATCATCCTCTAATAACCACACCAGGGACTCAACCTGGTCTGCATTAAATGGTGGCAAAAATTTCATCCCTGCATTCGGGGGAACCAGATGAAACCAACTCAACACAAACCTGAATCAATGGCTGCACCATAGAGAAATCTGTGCCCTGATCTACTAGAACATGAGCGAGCCGTATACATTCTAGCAGTTCATCCCGGGGATACTCCTTCAGAGTCTGATAAGCATACTCTCTGTCATCATCAAGCACTAGCAGAGATAAATACTCAACCTCATCCAGATCCATCCTTCCCATCAACAAGCCAAGATGGCTTCCCTGTGCAGCCACTTCTGGTCAGGATTGGCCTTGGTGTAATGTCAGGGCTCCCAGGTGTGACCAGAGATGTGTGACTGACGCAGGGAAACGCAGACCTCAGATATGTTATAAACAATATAATTTATTAACACTAACAATACAAACATAAACGCAGTGCAATACTAAAACATAATACAGTGCAAACAAACCAAACCAAACCACCCACAGATATAACAGTACATACAAGCAAGCGTCGTCAGGCAGGCCGGGTCAATATCAATAGGGCAGGTAGGTACAGGGGGGAGCAAGCGGAGATTGGTCAGGGTCACAAGCCAGGGATCAGAACAGGTAGCAAGCAGCGTGGTACAGAGGGTCAGACAGAGGGATGGTCAGGAGCGAGCCGGGATCAGAGCAGGAGAAGTCAGCAGCGGTACAGAAACAGGATGCAGGGCCCAGGACAAACACACACCAAGGCAGAGTCTGTGGGTCTGGCCATCCCTTAAATACCCCAGCATAATCAGTTACAGGTGTTAGCTGGCTGCAAAGTTGAGTCTCTGATTGCTGGAAACACCCGCTGGCCAGCCCTGGTACTGCAGATCAAAAGGCAGGTGAGTCCCACCATAGCTGGCCAGTCCATTCCTGACACAGTGTATGAATGGCTTCCCACTGTTTGAGAATACATTGTTAATTGAATTTATGATGCGACGTAACACAGTATATGCACATATGTAAGTCATTGTTGAATTAACTTACCTGAGGATGATATAGTCCCTATGAATGATTTTGCTTATAGATTATAGTTATATCACAAATGCAAACCTATACAGTTGCAAGAAAAAGTATGTGAACTCCTTGGGATTACGTGGAGTTTTGCATGAATTGGGCATAAAATGTGCTTTGAACGTCATCTAAGTCACAACAATAGAAGAACACAGTCTGCTGAACATAATACTACACAAACATTAGATGTTGCCATGGTTTAATTGCACATAGCATGTAAACATTCACAGTGCAGGGAGGAAAAAGTATGTGAGGCCCTAGCTTAATGACTGGTCCCAGAGCTAATTGGAGCCAGGAGTGAGCCAACCTTGACTCCAATCAGTGTGATGATATTGGATGTGTTGCTGACAGCTGTCCTGCCCTTAAAAAACACACACACCTGTTTTGGGTTTACTGGTTTCAAGAAGCACTGTCTGATGTGAACCATGCCTCGCAGAAAAGAGCTCTCAGAAGACCTACGATCAAGAATTGTTGACCTGCATGAAGCTGGAAAGCGTTACAAAAGTATCTCCAAAAGCCTTGATGTTCATGTGTGTCCATGGTAAGACAGACTGTCTACAAATGGAGAAAGTTTAGCACTGTTGCTACTCTCCCTAGGCGTGGTCGTCCTGTAAAAATGACTGCAAGAGCACAGCGCAGAATGCTTGAGGTAAAGAAGAATCCCACAGTGTCAGCTAAAGACCTACAGAAATCTCTGGCACATGCTAACATTTTTGTTGACACATCTACAATAAGGAAAACATTAAACAAGAATGGAGTACATGGGAGGACACCACGGAGGAAGCCATTGCTGTCCAAAAAGAATATTGCAGCACGTTTGAAGTTTGCAAAAGAGCACCTGGATGTTCCACAGCACTACTAGGCAAAATATACTGTGGACAGATGAAAACCAAGATTAAGTTGTTTGGGAAGAACACACAACACTATGTGTGGAGAAAAAAAAGGCACAGCACACCAACATCAAAACCTCATCCCCACTGTAAAACATGGCGGAGGGAGCATCATGGTTTGGGGCTGCTTTGCTGCCCTCAGGGCCTGGACGGATTGTTGTCATTGATAGGAAAATGAATTCCAGAGTTTATCAAGACATTTTGCAGGAAAACGTACGACCATCTGTCCGCCAAGTGAAGCTCCGCAGAGGATGGGTGATGCAACAGGACAATGACCCAAAGCATACAAGTAATTCAACAAAACAATGGCTGCAACAGCACAGAATATGCCTTCTGGAGTGGCCCAGTCAGAGTCCTGACCTCAACCCGATTGAAATGCTGTGGCATGACCTTAAGAGAGCGATTCACACCAGACATCCCAAGAATATTGCTACACTGAAACAGTTTTGTGAAGAGGAGTGGTCCAAAATTACTCCAGATCATTGTGCAGGTCTGATCTGCAACTACAGGAAACGTTTGGTTGAGGTTATTGCTGCCAAAAGAGGGTTAACCAGTTATTAAGTCCAAAGGTTCACATACTTTTTCCTCCCTGCACTGTGAATGTTTACATGTTATGTGCAATTAAATGGCAACATCTAATGTTTGTGTAGTATTATGTTCAGCAGACTGTGTTCTTCTATTGTTGTGACTTAGATGACGTTCAGAGCACATTTTATGCCCAATTCATGCAAAACTCCATGTAATCCCAAAGGGTTCACATACTTTTTCTTGCAACTGTATGTTTGGATGAACTTTCAAAGCTTGTGCATTGAATATATGGATAATAGTGATGAGTTTAATACCCCCCCATTCGGTTCGCAGTTGAACATTCGAACATAATGAACATCGACAGTAAACTTCGAACAGAGGGAACAATTCACTTAGCGGTATCTTACCACATCTGAGTATGCACTAAGATACTGCACAGCTACTAAACACAATCGTGATTGTTTCAGCTGTCAGCGGGGTTCCCCGCTAAGAGCTGAATGTAAAAATAAGTGCCGAAATTGCCCAGCAATTAATTTTTTTTTTTAAAACACATGGGGTTTCCCCCCCCCATCCATACCATGCCCTTCGGGTCTCATATGGAGTTTGAGGGTAACCCCCACGCCAACATTTAAAAAAAATGGCATGGGGTCCCCCCCAAAATCCATACCAGACCCTTACCCGATCATGCAGCCTGAAAGGTCAGGAAAGGTGGAGACGAGTGAGCGCCCCCCTTCTGAACCCTTCTGAACCATACCAGGCCACATGCCCTCAATATGGGGGTGCTTTGGGGCAGGGGTGCTCCTCTCCAAAGCACCTTGTCCCCATGGTCTCTCATTGATGGGAACAAGGGCCTCTTCCCCACAACGTGGCCGGTGGTTGTTGGTGTCTGCGGGCGGGGGGGGACTTATCGGAATCTGGAAGCCCCTTTTAACAAGGGGGCCCCCAGATCCCGCCCCCCCCATGTGAATGAGTATGGGGTACATGGTACCGCTACCCATTCACACAAAAAAAAGTGTAGTGTAAAAATAACAGGAGACAGTCTTTGACAATTCCTTTATTAAAAACAAAAATTAAAAAAAGTCCCCTGAAGTAGATCCAACATCAATCATGTTGCACACCCCCCCACCCCACCCCCCACTCCCCGCCATCTGGCAGCTGCGCTAGGATGACAGTTCCTAAATAGTGTGATGATGTTACTGCCTGATTAACAGCTTGCTCGGGCTTTACATCATGCAGCTGAGAGATGGAACCAGCCGGGCCTGCCGCCCTCCATCCTGGCACTCCAGTGAGGACTGGATAAGCAGTATCCAGTACTTTTCATAATTTTTTTGTGTACCACATTATTCTCATATTGAAGCACTGATTGTTGTAACAGACAACAGAGTTTAATATTATGTGTGTTTTTATTTATGGTATTCATAAGTATTGAACATTGGTGTATGATTAGTGCAGCACTTATTATTTAATTTAACTCTGCTTGGGGTAGTCTGAGAAGCGAAGTGAGTGTCCAGTGGTCATGTGTTCACTTAGTTCTCTGTTAGAATCGAAGTGCGACAGCTGCAGCATCACACAAATGATTCAGCATGGTGATGACTAGGATGAGGAGGTATGTTTTTACATTTTTTTTTCAAAAGCCCATATATCAATTTTAGGTACAAGGCATGATGACAGTCCGACTGATTGTCAATCGTATATAAGCAAAATTGTCAAAGAATTCATGTTTACCATTGCATACTTAC